AGCAGCCTGCAGCACTGGCATCCCATAAGGGTGCTGGTTCGAGTCCCAGCTGCTCCACTTCCGATCCAGCTCACTGCTAGTGCGCCTGAGAAAGCACCACTCGGGAGACCAGGAGAAAACTCCTGGATTGGGTCAGCTCCGGCCATTGCAGCCGTTTGGGGAGTGAAGCAGCGGATGGAAGACCTCTTTCTCTGTGCCTCTTTGTCTCTCCCTCTCTCTGTAAAAAATTAATTAATTTAAAAAAGAGAGAGAACAATCTCCCATCTGTTAATTAACTTCCTAAATGCCCTCAACAGCCAGTGCGGGGCCAGGACAATGCCAGAAGCTGAGAGCTCCTTCCAGATCTGCTGCATGGGCGGCAGGGACCCAAGCAGTTGAGCCCTCACTGCTGCCTCCCAGGGTGCACATCAGCGGGAAGCTGGCATGGAGAGCACCGCGGGAACTCGAGCCCAGGCACTGCAGTTTGAGCTGGGGGTGTCCCAAGCAGTGACTGCTCACCCCGGAAGGTTTTGACTTTAACTCATAGACTGATAACCAACACCCACCCTAGAATCTTCAAACTGCATAAAGTAGTAGAAAAAAGATTGTAAACAAAGCAAGCCCAGATATTACTGGAGGGAGCAGGAGGCAAACAATGGAACATAGAGCATTTCTGTGGCCATGGGAAAGGAACTCCATGACTGCGGTATGACTGAGTTTTCCAAGTGCCAAAGTTGGCAGCTGCTTATGCAGGTTGCTGAATTCACAACCCTGCTGCATTTTTATAAAGTTAGGCCTTGCTGGAGAGCAGGAATGGGCACAGGAGAGGAAGTGGGAGAAAACACGGGGAGAACACACCCCTCTTCCTTAGCGGAGAAAGCTCACAACTTCCTGCCAGCCTCCGCTGCTCAGCTGGGAGGCGGGACCAGTGATGCCTTCCGGGTGGAAAGTAGACTCTGAGTAGGAGGGATGTGGGGGCCCATCCAGAAGGGCAGAAGCTCATTCATTTTTACCTTTAGGAATGTAGGGAACATTTGTGGGAATGGATTTTCTTGCCTCATCAAGCAAGGGGGGTGTACTTTTAGACCAGACAAATCCTGTTAGTATAGATGCACTTACCAGGGACTTGGCATTCTCTATGCTAGCTCCAAGAGCTGGCGAGGTGCTGTCAGTGTGATGACTTGGCTAATGCAAACTTAAATCAAATGCTGGCCCACATGAAATGGAATTTAAATGCCTTACAGCCCTTGGCATTATGAATAGGAAGAGATTCGAGGATTTCCGAGGACAGGACTCTGGGCTGGATCTATTTTGGCCTCCAGTGAACTCCGCATGCTTGACTTCTGCTTTAAAGAAGGAATTAGGGATGCTGGGTGAAGGTGCAAATTGAAGTGAGTGCCCTGATCTCACTGGACAGGAAGAACCCAGAGGTGTGGGAGGCCAGCTGTTGGCATTCACCCCTCAGAAATTAAGTGGAAGTGACTATCTTAATATTCAGCAGGCACTGATAAGGTAAGAAGTCTGGTGTCAGGTCCTGAAAAGTTAAATCAAAGGCAACCCACTCGAGCCTTAATTGTATAACCAGCAACATATATCAAAACAAAACCACCTCTGTAGGTCTGGCTTTGACTTGAGCCACCATGGGAGTTACAGATCGTCCCCTAACACCCAGGCTTGCGCTTTCATCCAAATCGTGGATAAAGACTTTGAGCACTATTTGGGGGTGGGTGTTAGACAGTACTACTTTAGGTTCACCTATCCTGAAAAAATGGTATTTTGACTTTTACCCATGTTATTGGAGGCCAAGTGGGATCCCAAAGCTCTGTAGCCCAAATCTGCAGATTCTGAGTATGGTTGGAAAAAATCCCTTCATGGGCTCTCAATGATATGAAAGACAAACAGGATCTGACTGGAAACTGTTTCCAAACAGAAACATCAAGCACATCTTTGAGGAGGCTGCAGGCTGCAGAGCTCCAGGGTGATGACTCCTATCAGACAGCAGGAATTTTCTGTTTGGCTGGTGCCAAGTTAGATTGGATGGGTCTTAGGAAATGACATGGGTTTTTGAAATTTAATTAATTTATTTGAAAGTCAGAGGGAGAAACAGTATCTTCCATCTGCTAGCTCACTCCCCAAATGGCTGCAACAGCAGTGGGTAAGCCAGGCGAAAGCCAGGAGCTGGGAACTGGGAACTCCATGTGGGTCTCCCACATGGGTGCAGGGGCCCAAGGACTTGGGCCATCTTCTGCTGCTTCCCCAGACACATTAGTAGGGAGCTGGATGAGAAGTAGAGCAGCTGGGATTTGAACTGGTGCTGTATGGGATGCTGGCATCTGCAGGCTGCAGCATAACCCACTGCAGCACAATGCTGGCCCCAACATTATCTAATATTTTGTTTTAATGAGGTGACAGTCCCACTTGTTGCCCCTCATTGCAGTCCCTGGAGCTACTGTGCATTTCACTGGTTTCATTCTGTGTGCAGAGGAACAGAAGTCACTGAAGCATTTACTGTTACCTAGAGGAGATAACAGTGTTCCTTTCCTGCTCCATCTCAGGTCATCTCTGTTCTCCAGCTCTGGTCTCTGAGTATCCCTGTTTCACAAGACATCAAACACACTATGTTCACAGAATCACAATACCAGGCCTGAAGGACAAGAGAAGAGAATGTATCCCCCTGCATGGGTTAGACATACTTTTTTTCTTTCACACAATGTGGGAGATAAATCCAATGCTTCCCAGTGTAATTTCTTAAAAGTATTTGGTTCCCACGTAGGAATGTTCTTGCAAAGCAAAGAACAAGCGTCTATTCCTTGGTGCCACTGAAAGACACCCAATGGTAGTTGCATTTGGTTGGTTCTACTGGTGTCACATCCTGGCTCACTCCTGGGCTTTGATGATGAATGAAACCCTAACCACAGGACACGGGTAATCTTGTGACCCCAAAGTGCCCATCATAAACCAACAACTCAATCCTCCATCCAGACAGTAAGGCCAGTAATGCCAGGATTCTGGCATTGAATACACGATGGCAGGAAAGGGCTGCTCACCATCAGGGAGTCACAGGTTTTCTGATGAGACCTAAGGACCACTCGCAAAGCTTTGCTTCCTGGTCCCACAAGTCTTGAGTTTTGCTGACTTAAAGGTTTTGGTACCCACGGGAAGAATATGATTAAAATTCATGGAAAATGTAATTAAAAGCTGTTTATTTTGATACAAAAGCATTTTTTAATCTTTGCATGGTGTTTTTCTAAATTGTCCAACGTTTTGAAGTACATTTGAACTTCCACTAGGGCTACAGCGATGGTTGCCTGCACTGCAGACTCAGACTGCCACCTGTGCAATTTCTGAGCTCTTACCCCTAAGGGCAGACATATAAAGGGATCCAACATGTCGGCAGGGAAACCAGCCACACGACCCAGGGGAAATACAGTCACTACTGCACCAAGAAGGCAGCATGTGCAAGTGACGCCAAGGAGTTCTCTGGGGCATCTCCACATCCTGGCAGGACCACCAAAGGATCATGTGCTCTGGGAGTGAAGCGTAGGTCACCCTTCCAAGCCAAGAACCCCAACCAACGGAGGTACTGGCCCAAAGCAGGGGCGTCATGACAGAGCTGGCAGGCCGTTAGAAATGCCAGCAGCCTCGTGACCATTGCAGGAATGAGGGCATAGCAGTGACCTATTTTCCTCCTGGTGTGTCTTTCTTCTCCTTCCCAGTACCATATATAGTGTATGCTGTGCAAGTTATACTTGCTGTTGATTGCTTATGTTACCCAGACAGGATCAGTGGTGCCAGTGGAGGAATGAAATCAGAGCTGGATTCAGCAACAGGACACAGCCATGGCATCTTCTCTTTGGGGAGAGGATCAGCATATTTGTGGTTATGTGTGAGAGTTTATTCATAGTGGGAATAGGTAGAGAACTGTGTATGTGCGAAGGCGTGAGGGTATGGCGTGCTGGGCAGCCCAGGGCTGCAGCGTAGTGGACCGCTGCTATTTTTGCTTGTTAATGCCCCTCTTCTTTACTTTGGTGACAACACATGGCCTTTTCCCTGGGTAACTACCTTTCCTCCATCTGCCGCAGGTGGGAATCCAGGACCCTGCCTCGCATCCCCCCCCACCCAGGGCAAGGCATGCGACTCAAGTAAAATTAACTTCTTCCTGGGACTGGAACTGACAGCACAAGGGTGCTGGGAAGGAAGGTGGGCGGCAGGGGGCTGTCTGGCCAGGAGTGTCCTGACCAGAATGCTCCTGGGTCCTGCAACTGAGGTCAGCGAGCCCCCCGCCCCTGCCCTCGCACTCCCCCAGCTCCCCTGCCCCCGGCCCTGGCCCCAGTGCTGTCTGTCCAGAGGCCTTGTCAGCGTCTCCTTTGGAGAAGCATCACATATACCCCCAAGCAGGTATTCACAGCCCAACCTCTGGAACTTTTCTGTGTTGCCTTATTTGGAAAAAAGGGTCTTGCAAATGTGATTAAGGGTCTTGAGAGGAGGTTATCTTGGATTATCCCAGTGGACCCTAAACGTGTGCTTGTTAGGAGGCACTGGGACACTTAACACACACAGAGACGGTGATGTGATGCCAGCACCAGAGCCTGGAGTGATGCAGCCACCAGAAGCTGCAAGAAGCAAGGGGGAAGTTCTCCTCCAGAGCCTGTGCAGGGGCCGTGGCTCGGTGACACCGGGATTCTGGGTTTATGACCAGAACTGTACAACAAACTCGGCTGCTTTAAGCCATTGAGTTTGTAGCAATTTGTAATGGCAGCCCTGGAAACCAAGGCACCTTGCAACAAATTCAGTTTTTGGCTTCAAGAGGTCAGTTTCTGCTGCTTGGTACGGAAGAACCCTAATTGTTACCCCTAATTGTTACCGTTGTTCATGACTTTAATTCTTTACTCCAATGACCGAGTTAGTTCCAGCTGGATTCCTGGTCCGTGCAACCTATTCTGGCTGGACCAGCCAGAGACAAAGGCTGTGCCACATCCCAGACTGCTGGCATCAAGTCGTCCCACGTATCACCCAGCCTCCCTAGTCAAGACAGCAGTCAGGAAATCAGCTTCACACAAGCAGGAACAGGTCTCTGGGCCTCACTCTTTATTTGCATACTGATTTTCACTGACAACAAGGGAGTGAGGGTGAGTTTTTTTTTTTTTTTTTTTTTTTTTTTTTTTTTTTTTTTTTTGTGGTCAAGATCACACAGAATCTCGCAGTGGAGTCAGGCCAGGCAATTCTCTTCGTTGACGGGATCAGAACATCTGGAAGCCATCTGGCTTCTTGATATGTTTGGCAAGACCACGTAGGGGTACATGCAGCTCTTCTGATCCTCGTACCCCAACCTGGGCACAACTGGGCCTGGACATGTGCGGGAGGGCTGGTGTCTGTGTGTGTGGTGAATTCCTGGGAGGCCTTTTTGGTTGTGCCCCAGCCTCTGTTCCAGTCTGGATACTTGGAATCCATGTGTATGTCGGGGACCCACTGCATACTAGGCCCTGTGCGTGACATGCGTGCGGTCTTCACACGTGCCATTCCCTCTGCGTGGAATAGCCCACCACGGGACCCCCTTGGTCTAAGTAGTGTATTTCTCCCTTGGTGGCAGGTGAGGTCATCATGTGCTCGGGTGAGACTTCCAAGGCGATGGTCGCTGGTATGTTATGCATGCTACGATCCCCGCACGTGTTAAGTCTCCTGTGGTATATTTATGTGGATTATTGCACTAGCGTCTGCCCACTACTAGTCTGTATGCTTCAGGCGTAGAGGGCTATAGATTTTGTCAACCATTTTTTCTTTACACCTAGTAAGCAGGCAATAAAGCGGAGGCCGGGTGAGTGAGGTTAAGGTGAGCAGTGGCTGTGTGCAACACCCGAGTGGGCAGGGGGACCAGGTGAGGGAACTGGAAAGCGCAATCCTCACACACGGCCACTCAGGTCCTTAAAATATCCTAAAAATGCTGCTCAGCTAAACAAGATGACTGCAGGCCCCACGTGAAACCACGGCTGATAGTTGTTGGTGATGGATATGTGCTGAATGTGCGAACAGTCTACAAGGGACTCACCGTAGAAAAGTCACAGATGAAGCAGAGACGGGGGAGGCAGAGCTGACCGGGCCTCCCTTTCCATCTTGTTCACACCCTGGCACGGGCATGGTGTCTTTCTGGCTATTTCCCCTTTCCCCTCCATGTAGGCTGAACAAACTGGGTCAACACTTTATTCAACACGTACTGCATATCCACTCTGCACCACGCCTGGGGTTAAGCCAAGCCAGGTCTTCCATCTTGAGGCTCCTGGGATGGGACTCGGGGGCACGGACGATGGGTGCTCCAGCCCCAGCATGTGCAGAGCGGAGGAGCCACCCCCGACTCTCAGCAAGTAGAAGATTCGGCGGGGGCGTGTGAGAGCTGTGTCCCCAGCAAGGGCCCTAAAGGGCTGGGAGTCCCACGCCTTTGCCTGGGCCATTATTACTAAAGGTAGGGCGGGGGCCCAGGTCAGACTGGGGTCCTGGTGGCCAGCCCCCTGCCGCCAGCATTTCAGAACTGGCCTTTCAGTGCCTCCTCTGCTCCATTCGGTTTTTACCTTGCTCTGGGTCTAGCCGGTGGCCATGGGAGAGATGGAAGACCTGGAGGCTGCCTCCTATTGGAAGAACCGCAGCTGAGGTCCCGGGCTCCCACATTCGAATTCCCTGCCTGGTCCTTTGCCTCACTCCGACAGAGGGTTTTCATCTTATGCATCAACTTCGGGGATCCACACACAAACTCTGTGAGGGCAGAAGAGTGGACAGGACACTCGGCAGACCACAGCCTGCATTCCACAGCTGACTGGCGCTCCCTAGTTGTGTGACGTGGGGGTGAGACAGTGCCCCTCTGAGCCTCAGTTCCCCACCTGTGAAAAGGGGGTGATTCTCATCTTCCAACATGAGGCCAAATGTGATCTGGCTGGCTAACAGCAGGGGCCCAGGAGTCCTTGGCTTCCTGTTGACCTTCTCTGGCTGTGCCCGTGCCCTCCTGCTCTGGGCCACGGAGGAAGGGGCCTATTTCTCAGGCCAGCATGAGTCTGTCTCACTACGACAAGGAAACGAAGCAGGGGAGGAGTCTTTGTTTCAGCTGACTCTAGGCACATGGGAAGGGGGACACGCAGCCCTGGCTTTAACACCCCCGAGAGTCTGGAGGCTCACTGGGGGCCTGGGTCTCCAGATCTGCAGACTGTCCCTCCTGGGAGGTCTCTCGCGACGTCTCCAGAGAGGCCTCCGACGCGCCGTCCATGCTGCTCAGCAAGTCCTCAAACTCCCGGTGGTCGCTGTTGCGCACGGCCGCCTCCAGAGCCTTCTGGCGCCGGTAGAAGTGGGAGAACTTGTTGAAGATGATGGTGATGGGGAGTGCCACCACCAAGATGCCCCCCAGGATGCATCCAGAGGCTGCCAACTTGCCAGCCACCGTCACTGGCACCACATCCCCGTAGCCCACTGTGGTCATGCTCACTGTGCCCCACCACCAGCAGGCTGGGATGGTGTCAAAGCCCACGTCCTCCTCCTTTTCAGCTGTGTAGGCCACACCGGAGAACACCGACACGCCCACGGCCAGGTACAGCAGTAAGATGCCCACCTCACGGTAGCTATGCTGGAAGAAAACGTAGGGACCCAAGTCAGAGCTGGATGGGCTTACAGACCTGCTATTGGGCATGTGGGGAAACTGAGGCCCATGGATTAAGATGGCCAGGTCACAAAGTCACAGGTACAGTTAGTGCCAAGACCCAGGTCTCCTGACTCCCAACTAAAATCTTCCACTACCATAGGCAGCAACATTGTCTGGGCCTGAGCACAGGCCTAATTGCTGTTCAGGGATCCTGCTAGGGCCCAGCTGATCCTTCTAACTTGGGGGCCACTGGCGGCCCCAGCCGGCGAAGGAAAAGCTTGCAATCTTCCACACTGCTGCAGAGCCAAGAGAGCTGGCGTTTATATCCCGCCATGCAGAGTTGGTTTCACACACTTTGGACGGGTCCATCCCATGTGTGACGAGTACAAAATGTTTCCTGTGCCTCGTGGAAGCTGAGAGGGTGTATGACACAGGACATGCTCGCCCACGGGTGTGCGTGTCTGCTCTACCCTTGAAGCCAAGCCCTAGGGCAGCGTGCCCCTGGCAACATCTGCAGGCACTTCTGGTTGTCAGAACTGGGCCAGGTGTGCCACTGGCACCCAGAGAGTAGAGACCAGGGATGGGGCTTCACATCCTACAGTGCGCAGGACGGTCCCCACAACAAAGAATGCTCTGGTCCCCAACGTCAATGGCATGAGGCCGAGAGCCCCCAGTTTGGAGCAGAGGCTCTCAGACTGTAAAGTGCGGAGGGAACATGGCGAGATCTTACTAAAAGGCAGAACCTGAAGGAGGGTCTGGGACAGCAGCACAGGGTCTGTCTCACAAACTTCCACGCTGAGAGGCGAGGCTCTTGTGTGCAGTATCTGCCTCCTGTGTCGTGGCCCCTGGCAGCCCCACCTGATGCTCTCCTCCCTCCTTCCCCATCGTCAGGCCTTGGCCCTCTGCACCATTTAGGCAAAGCCGAATTCTGGAGCAGAGGGGGTCTTCTTCCCTGGAGAGATGCTGAGCTCAGGGGGTCTGGCTAACGGAATTCCCTGTGACCACCTAGGCCACCTGCCAGGAGGACATGCAAGGGCCTCTCCTGAGCACCGTTCCGGGACCCGGCGCAGAGCGGCACGGAGCTTTAGCAGAAAGCGCACGAGGTGCTGTGGTCCGACCCCGCTGGGTTATTCCCAGCTCTGCCACTGCTTCCAGAGGGGCCCCGGGGCAGTCCTGTCCGCTGTCAGAGCCTCAGTTTCCACACCTGCACAGCAGCAACAATAACACTGTGGCAACCACCCTGTGCACACACCAGGGCCCAGCGCTGTGGGCCAAGAGGTCACGGCCTTTTCGCACCCCATCATCCCTCTAGCCTCTTCAACCACATCTCTTCCCCTGTACCCCCCCAGCAAACATCCTGCTCTCTCTCCAGGCTGCGGGACAAGCCGTTCACTCTGCCTCCCTCCCCAAACCAGCCTAGGTCACCCCTTGGACTGTAAGTTGGCCAGGGAAGCGACCTGCACCCTGTGCCCCATGCAGGGCCTGGCTCCAGGACCTGCTCAACAGACCGCAGGCTGGCTCTCAAAAGCCAACCCTCCAGCCTCGCATCTGCAGAGAAGAACCCACAGCACCTTCCTGACGCAGTCCTCCCGAAGACGAAATCGCATCTGGAACCTGGCTCAGACCTGGTGCTCAGGAAGGGGCGGCTCTGGGGCTACCCCGAGCCTTAGCACGCAAAGGGGGCTCAGAGGAGGCCCTTGCATGTCCTCCTGGCAGGGCAGCCGGGGAATGGAGTGCTGGCAGGTGGCCTAGGTGGTCACAGGGAATTCCATTAGCCAGACCCCCTGAGCTCAGCATCTCTCCAGTCCGTGCCTGGCGGCGCAGGCTCCAGCTGGGCAGTCGGCGCCCGCTTTGCCTATGCCCGTGCTATGCATTGCTTCACGTTGGACAGACCCGTCCGAGGTGACCTCCGTCTTGTTTTCTGTGTGTCTGGCTGCTAAACACGACCAGCCGAGCCCTGCCTCTGTTTTCTCCTTGGGAACCTGGGCGGCTAACTGTAACGTCCTTGGCCACAGCGCCGCCGGGAGGGAAAGTCAGACCTGATGCAAAACGCACAACACCCGGCACCCAGCCCTGTGCCTGGCGCCCCACCGTGCCCCTGGCCGCACGCTCTGCGCCGGCCACACCGCCCTTCCCCGGCCCGCCCCGGCCTCGCCGGCCCTACCTTGAGCGTGGCGCCCAGCGAGCGCAGCCCCGTGGAGTGGCGCGCCAACTTGAGCACGCGGAAGATGCGCATGAGGCGGAACACCTGCACCACCTTGCCCAGGTCGCCCAGCTCCTCGCCGCCCGCGCCGCGCCGGCCACCCAGCGCCGCGCCGGCCAGCAGCGTGAGGTAGAAGGGCAGCACCGACACGATGTCGATGAGGTTGAGCGGGTGGCAGAAGAAGTTGCGCGTGCTGGGCGCCAGCAGGAGGCGCGACGACACCTCGAAGCTGAACCAGGCGATGCAGAAGTACTCGAGGCGCCGCAGCACCGGGTCGTCGTCGCGCGCGTCCTCGGCGCTGCGCCCCGCGGCCACGGCGGCCACGGCGGCCGCCGCCTCGCGGGCCTGGTACTCGGGCAGGCTGTGGATGCACATGGCGGCGATGGAGGCGAGCACCACGCCGATGGAGACGCAGCTGAAGAGCTTGCTGGGCAGCGAGTAGCCCGGGTTCTCCATGGTGAGCCAGAGGCGGCGGCGCAGGCGGCCGCAGCGCGCCGCGCCGTAGCGCGCCAGCTCGCGCTGCACGTCGGAGATCTCGTCGGGGCACGGGTCCACGCTGCTCGGCGTGTCGCTGTCCTCGTCCCAGGCGCGCGGCCGCGCCACGCGCCGCTCCAGGTAGCGGCCGCGGCAGCAGGCGGCCAGCGCGCTCTCGCCCAGGCCCCAGTAGTCGGCCTCCTGGCCGAAGGCGAAGACGCACAGCTCGTCGAGCACGTGCAGGCGGCCGGTGCGGTAGAAGTGCAGCAGGCCCAGGAAGAAGCCCGGGTGCCGGTCGAAGTAGAACTCGCGCGCCGCCGCGTCGTAGTCGTCGCACAGGCGTCGCGCCTGCTCCTCCGACGCCGCGGCCTGCAGGCGGCCCAGCCGCGTGCCCGGGAACCGCGCCAGCGCGCGCGCGCTCAGCCGCCGCCGCACGCCGCCCACGTTCACGCGCAGCGCCTCGTCGCTTCGCCGCCAGGGGACGCCGGCGCCGCGCCCCGGGGACTCGCTCACCATGGCTGCGGCGCGCGCGGGCCTGTGGACAGCGGGAGGTTCCGCTGAGGGGGCTCCCCCTACCTCGGGGCGTCCCTTCCAGGAAATCCCGATGAGAGGCCCGGCCCCACCCCGCAGCCGCGTGTGGAGCGCCCGGCGTGCAGTGGGTGCTCGGTGGGTGTCTGGGGGCCTCAGGATTCGGATTCGGGCCTGGGTTCGAGGATGCGCCCTCCCCAGCTGGAGGCTTTGGCCCAATCACTGACCTCCCGCCCCGTTTTGTTTTTTCTCCTGCAGACATCGACTTGGGAGGACTGCGTGTGCGATGGGATTGGGCGTCGCCCTGGCACCTGGTAGGTCCCCTCCCCCCCAGATGCCCCGTTCCTGGATAAACTTGGATTTCTGTCCCCGACGTGCGAGTCCTCGGAACCTGTGTGTTCTGCAGAGTGGAGCTAGCTGAGCTCCCTGCCTCGGCGGCGAGGGGAGACCTAGTTAGACCAGGTGTTGCCTGGGACTAGCAGCCTCACCTGCGACTTTGTCAGGGATGCGTGGTCTCAGCCTTTGGGGGGTTTGCTGACCCAGAAACCCTGGGCCTGGGGTCCAGCTGTCTGTGGTTTCACAGCCTGGAGAGTGATTCCACACACGGTGGAGAAGGAGAGCTACTCATTTACACTGTGGGAAGGCTCTGGGGCCTGAGGCCTGCCCTTGAACCCTGGCTCTTTTGTGTGACCTTAGGCAAGTCACTTCACCTCTCTGATTTAAAATACCAACCTCCAAGTGTCTATCAGGCCTGGCTCACGGAAGGGGTTTACTCAATTATCCACCTGTGCCACGCTCTCCTGGCGGCAGGCACACCTGGGTGTACGTCTGGGACCCTGGGGGGGGGGGAGGTACTTGTTCTCCAGCTCTGCCTCCGGCACAGTGCACAGTGCAGACAATAGCACCCACCCCCAAGGGCGGCTGGAAGATTAAGGTAGGGCGGGGAGAGTGTTCGGCGTCAGGGACTGCTGGGGAGGTGCTGGGTCCTGCCCCTGCCCGCTGCGGAAGGCCAGTGACTCACTGCCTGACCCTGTGGGTTCAGGGCTGCCTGCCTCCTGGGGTGCACCTGGCCCGAGGCCTGCTCTTACACAGGTTGGCGTTCTCACCCTGGTTGTGTCACTTACGTGACATCAGGCCAGTCTCCTCCCTTGTGTGGGCTTCAGCTCTCCTGTCTTTAGAACGGGGATAATGGCAGTTTGGATGGACTGTCATTGTGAGTGTGTGTGCCGAGGCCCTGGGACACAGTAGTTGATCAGTAAACATTCATCCCCTGTACTTCCCTCTGACCAGGTCTGAGTGCAGATTCTCACTCTGCCCCTGTGACCTTGAGCAGATCCACTGCCCTCTGTAAGCTCCAGTTTCCCCGTCTGTGTCCCGGGCAGCAGCACAGTTTCTACGAAAGGCTGCAAGATGCAGAGTGGCAGTGTGGTCCCTGGCGCGGAGCTGGGCAGTGAGCAGGGTGGGCTGCAGCTCTGCTCCCGGCTCCTGCGCCTGGACTTGGCACCCATTCTTCATTAGCAGCATGGACCTGAGCCACTGCCTTCCTCTCTCTGGGACTCCCTTTCCTGCTCTATAAAATGGGGGTAATTCAACCAACACTTCCTGAAAAGAACCTGGATATCGGAAAGATTAAGCGACTTGTTCCAAGGAACCCAGCTCGACCTTGGCACCGTGGGGGCAGGCAGCAGCCAGGCTATTTGAGCACTCACTACCTACTGGTCACTCCCCTGAGCACCCCCTCCCCTCCTTTAGTCCCTCAGACCCAATGAGCAAGGTCTTCCAATCCCATTTTACAGATGAGCAGGCAGGTCCACCTGGGAGCTTCCAAAGCACCGCCCTCTGCATCCTTCCCTCCTTGGGGTGGGCTTCTAGAGGGGGCCGGCCCCGGAAGCCCCAGGCAGCTCCCGGCTTCCCACTCTGGCTGCCCAGGACCCGGGACCTTCCTGGACCACGCCCCTTCCCGAGGGAGGCCCCTTACCTGTCGCGGCCCCTCCCGGACCCTGCGCGTCTGTCCCCAGAGGCTGGGAGCCGCTGGCTGCGCCGGGGCTGGAGTCTGTTCCCGCGGCCCCGCGGAGCCTTGCTGCTCCGGAGACCCGGCTGCCCGCTCCTTCCCTGGCTTCCTGCGTCCCCCGCGGCCTCGGCCGCATCGATCGCTGCCGGGGGAGGGAGGGAGGCCGCGGGCGGCAGGAGGAGGTGGTTTCTATTCCTGACTCGGCTGGAGGGTGCTGGTGTCTGGAGGCTGGGGCCAACAGCCCGGGTGTCCTCCCAAGCCAGGGGCCCGGGAAGGAGGGATCCTTTAGCTTCAGCGCCTGAGAATCCCCTTCGGGAGGGACTGCAGCCCCAGCCTGTCTGGCAAAGGATCAATAGTAATCATAGTTGGCTTAATTGAGTGCTTAGTAGGTGCCAGGCGCTCTGCTTCAGGTGCTTAGCTCAGTTATCCCTGACCCAGACGTGGCAGGGGTGGGCTCCTGGAGTCCTCATTTTGTAGCTGAAGCACAGGTATTTGGCTCAGGCTGTGGGGGATCTGGGTTAGGGGGCTGTGGCTCCCGGCTTCATTTTCCTGGGAGGCCAGAGCAGGTGCAAGGCCTGGCTCTTCCCTGGGTGGGCTGTGGCTCCCCAGTATTTTGCTCCTGAGGCCCCGTATCCTCTTCTGCCCAAGGGCCACAGCTTCCCATCTTCCAAGTGGGCTGGGAGGGGAGGGGAGAAATGTGCCAAGGAGCTGTGTCAAGTTGCAGGATCTGCACCTATGTATTGAGTGGCTGGGGTGTGCCTGATGCAAGACTTAACAAAAATGTTGTTTTTAATAAGGAGAGTTAGTAACAACTACCTAGCACTTACTTTGGGCCAAGACAGGCCTCATCTCATTCAGGCTGCAAATCTATTTGCGGGACAGGTGCTGTCTCACGGCTGGGAAATGAGGCTTTGAGAGGCATGGAGACCTTCCCAAGGTCACACCGCTGACTTCCTCTAGGCCAGCATGGTTCAATAGATACAACGTGAACTGCATATAGAATCTAAACTTTTAATGGCAATATTTAAAAGAAGAGAAACAAGACAGATTATTTAAATAATATATCTTATTTAACCCAGTATATCCAAGATGTTGTAATTCCAATGTGAAATCAATACAGAAATCATTGATGTCACATTTTACATTTTCATTTTTGTGAGTCTTTGACTTCCATTGTGCTGGGTTTTTATGCCGGACTTGGGCAGTTTTAGACACCATGAATGAGTTCTCACTGTTTCTCTAGGTCGCAAGTCTGGGCACAGCATGGCTGGATTCTCTACTCAGGGTCCCCCAGGCTGAAGCCAAGGCATTGGCCAGGGTTGAGATTCTGACCCGAGGTTCTCTTCCATACTCAGATTGTTGGCAGAATTCATTTCCTGTGCTTATAGGACTGAGATGCCCGTCTTGCTGCCAGCTGTCTGCTAGGGATCAGCCTCAGAGCCTGGAGTCACCTGCGCTTCCTTGCTGCCTGACCTCACAGGCAGATCGCAGCATGAACACCTGCATTCTGCAGGCAACCCAGAGTGTGGGCTTCCTTGTTTTATTTAAGATTTATTTTGTTTATTTGAAAGGCACAGTGATGGAGGGGGGAGGGAGAGGGAGAGGGAGAGAGAGAGAAAGACGAGAGAAAGAGAGAGAGAGAAAAATCTTCTTTTGCTGGTTCCTGCCCAAATGGCTGCAAGGGTCAGGATTGGGCCAGGCGGAGCCAGGAGCCAGGAGCTTCTTCTGGGTCTCCCACGTGGGTGCAGGGGCCCAAGGCCTTGGGCCATCCTCCACTGCTTTTACAGGCACCTTAGCAGAGAGGTGGATTGGAAGTGGAGCAGCCGGGACTCAAACTGGTGCCATATGGGGGTGACGGCACTGCGGGGGCAGGGAGTCTGTAAAGGACTCACCTGATTAGGCCAGGCCACTGTCAGTCACCCTTCTGACATGCATTCCCCACTCACAGGTTGCATTCTGAGAGGAGGATGTTGTACAGGGGTGAGGGTATTTGGGGTCATTTAAAAAATTCAGCCTGCCACGTCCGCCTATAACAAATCTCATTTAGGACAGATCGTATTTGACGTGCTCAGTAGCCGTGAGCGGCTGGCGGCTCCCGTGTAGGGTTGCATAGCCCTAGGCTGCAGCCCTTCAGTTTCACGCAGAGGAAGCAGTGAGAGCAGGCACCTCTTGCCTACCTCCCTCATTTCGCCAGCAGGTCTCCCATTTGCTGCTCTCGGACTGCGACTGCGGCCTCCACTGCCCTCCCCAGAGCCGGAGAGGTGGACAGACCCATTTCCCTAGGGCAGAAGACACCTGGTCCATGAGTTGGCATCACCCCGAGATCACGTTGTAGTGGGTACTCGGAGTTGTGGATAGTTCACAGGTGCCGAGAACGGGAAGAGGGCCAGCCTAGGTCTCTGTTGCTGCCTTCTATGTAACACGGGTGGGCTGTCCCCCAAGTTTTCCCTCAGTCTCTGGCCGGAACTCTCGGGGGGGATTTACCTGCAGAGAGAGCTTGCTGCTGCAGAAAATACAGAAGTTTGGGGATTAAGTGGACCTGGTGTGGCAGGAAGCTTCTTAAATATCTCCGGGTGAGGGCTGCCTCCTGCTTCTCATGCCCCCTGTGTGACCCCGCCCCTTGCGTGTGGGCGGGACTTGCTGGCTGACTCCTGAGCAGAATGTGGCCAAGGGGCTGGAATGTTCCATAAAGCTGGGCCTTGCAGGGGGCTCTGTTGACTTCTGGCCATCATCCTGCCACGAACTGAAACTCTGCCAACTTCCACGTGAACGGGACAGTGGCTCCCTCTCCAGAGGAGACTTCCGCGCTGACTGACACCTCCGTAGCAGTCTCATGAAGCCGATGACCCCGGTAAACCATGCCTGGGTTCTCGACCCACAGAAACCCTGAGATAACAAATGTGTGCAGTTTTAAGCCACTTTGGTGGTGGTGGCTGGTGACATGGCAACAGACGAGAGTGCGTGGGGTTTGGATCTTGCTTTTGCCACTGAATTGCTGTGTGACCTTGGGCCGAGTGTCTGTTCTCGGTGCTTACCTGCCTCAGCTGTAAAATGGGAACAATGCCTACGTTTCAGGGTTTGGCTGAGGATTAGCAATGCTGTTCCCTCCCCATGAACAGCCCTTCCTGCACTTCCTTTTCCTGGTATATCAGGATTGAATTTTGCTTGTGGAAGAGAAACCTTCCCTGGAGAGGAGGTCACTTTTGTCAGCGTGCCAGGGCAGGTGCGGCTGCTCAGGAACTGAAGATCCAGGCTCCCCGTCACTTCCTGCTGCGCGGTTCTCAAGCGGCTCTCAGCCTTGTGGCCGACGCTGCGCAGAGCTGCCCCGAGCACGCTGGCTTGTGCTGTGCCCTTCCTGCACAGTTACGAGGGCATCTCTCTGTCAGAGGCTCCCCTGGGGCTGCAGAGCCTGCGAGGGCTCCACTCAGGGAGACGCAGAAGGGCCTGGGGATTGGTGTGTCCCACCCACACTGGTCTCTGGAGCTGCCCTGTGGCTGTCCCTCGAGGCCACACCTTAGTCACCTCTTCTCTGTTTTGTGCACTTCGCCACTGCCACACATGCTTCTCCTGGAATCGTTCTAGGGCGGCGCCATCATCTGAATCTTCGTCTCAGCCGGTCCTGGAGGTCTCCAGACGGCTGTTCTGGCTGCAGCAGCCGGGTCCCAGGAGGGATGAGGGGCAGATGGAGGATGGGCAGAAGGCTGAGCGTCCTGAGTTAGGGAAGCAGTAGTCTCCCAGGAAGTCTGTCCCAGGAGCCTTCCCCGCACTCCTGATTGGCCAGTCCCAGGTCACGTGACCATTCCTTGCCACAGGGAGCTTACAGCAAAGTGCACAAATATTAAGTTAAAGCCAAATGAATTTTTTTGCAAATGGGTATATTCATATAACTACATTCCGGGTCAAAATCTAGAATGTCACCAGCACTCTGGTAGTGTGAGGGTTTGGGACAAATGTTCCTAATTGAGGACACTGCCGTTGGTAAGAATAGGGAAAATGGCTTGCTGGCAGTGTCGCACTTGGCCGGCTCCTACTCAGACTCAAGGCCTTGGCTTGGGCAGTCACTTCCTTCAGGACGCCTTTGCTGGTTCCAAGCTGGCTAAGATCCCTCCCAGCCTGCGTAGACTCCTTGGTGTCTCCAGTCTGGGGCAGATTGTGCGTTACTCCAGCTGGGGCTTCGTCTACTCCAATAGTGCATAGGTCTCTCTGCAACACAGCCTGGAGCCTGTAAGTATTCAGCAAACGTTTATCAAGGAGGGAAAGTGAAGATGGGGTCTGCGGAGGAACTGAGTGTCCAGTGTCTCAGGCGGCTTCCTAGAAGGGGAGTGGAAATGGAGCTGAATGGTTTGGAATTCAGTAGCTAGGACAGAGCCGGCACAGACCTGGGGTGACAGGCAGGGAGTTAGCCAGTGAGCTGAGCAGGTGCATTGTGTAGATGTGTAGCCAGAGAAGTCCTGGCCTGTGACCCGCTGCCTCCTGCCATTCCAGGGACCCAGCTCAGCAGCCAAGTTGGAACTGGGAGCTTCCTGCTGGGACCCCCGATTTTTCTTTCCTATTGCCTTTTAGCAATAAGCTGTGCACAACAGGCTTGGGTTCCGGCCATCCAGAACTGAGCCCGATCACTTCACCCTCGTGAATCTTTGTGATCCTGTTTCTCAGAGCTGGGAGGATTCTTCACAGACCGAGTGTCGTGGAGTGGTCAGGAAGCGAGGGGTGTGGGGCCAGCCTGTCTGGGTCAAATCCTGGTTCTGCCACGTAGAGGCTGCATGACTTTGAGTGCCCTTGTGCCTCAGTTTCCTCATATATGAGATGGAGAATAATAATAAAGCCCATGTGGGAAGGCGGTGAGGACTTAGGGAGATTATACATGCAACGTGGGTAACGTAACACCTGGCGGAGGCTGGGTGTGCTGGACTTGTTGGGAGCTGTTGCTGGCTTCTTTCCTTTTCTTTTCATTATCTAAGAAGGAATAGGACAAGGTTTAGTGCTAGCTGCATCACCTCTCAGCCAGGCATCTGGGGCAAGTCACTGGCCTCAAAAATGCTGCTGTGTCCCCCTTGTCAAGTGGGAGGAGGAGTGGCCACGTTTCTTGGGGCAGGGATGGGTGAGTGAAATGCTCTGTGGGAGGCGTACTGTGGGCGTTGACTACAGACATCCGAATCAGCCAAGCTCTTCCTGTAATCAGTCTGCAACACAGAGTCCCCAAATCTCAGACTTTTTCTACCACAAACACTTATTTCTCTCCCACCCGTGACACTTAACCAGAACAGCTCAGCTTCCGGCCTGCTCTGTGTGTCTCTCATGCTGACACTGGCGGTTTCCGGTCAAAGTCATCTCCTGGCACAGGTGGGAGCTCCCAGGTGACTGGTGCCTTGTCTTAAACCCGGCATGTGTCCCATAAGTCAAGACAGGTTCATGGCCAAGCCCCAGGTCACTGGAGCAGGGGTATGCACTCTCCTCTAGGGGTGCCAGGGTAGCAGTGGGGAGGGAAGGGCAACATGGGGCACATAGTACAATCTGTTGTGTTATTTGAGGTGGAGAAACTGAGGCCCAGAAAGAGCGAGTGACAGTTCTCTTTGTCCCGCTCTCCCAGGCCTCACCTTTATCCACTCACAGCCACGCCCCCTTAAGGACGAGGACCGCTCTGTGGAAGGCGTCATCGCTGATGTCGTCCTTGCAGACATCCCAGAGTACACCTAACACAAACTAGGATGGCGCCTCTTCGGAGGCCGCACTGTATCGCGGTCTGCGGTGGACCCCAACGTTACGCGGTCCACGACTTAGTGTGCGCTTGCTGCTTCTGAGTCCGCATTTCAGACATTGGGTCCCACGGGGAGGACTGCGGTCCTGAGGGAGTCCGAGTCTTTCCGTCTCCCAAGAGGGCAAACGGGTGAAGGACACACCTGGGATCGCCCTGTGGGGTCAAGAGAATGAGGAACGAGGAACCAGGGTTTCCAAGTTCAGCCCCACACTTGACCCCCAAGCCCTGGTCCATCAGGGGTGTGAGAGAAGGGGCTATGGGGGAGGGTTTGCCTGCCTCGCTCCCCTTGCTAGAACAAGGCCCGGGTAAGAGGGAGAGTCGGGGCCCAGCGTCTGGGTCCAGAACTGTCTAGAGGTGGCCGTCCGTCATGCCCTCATTGATCCCCGCCTCCCACCAAGAAACACTCATTAGGTTTTTTTTTTTTTTTTAACTTTTATTTAATGAATATAAATTCCA